GTTTGCTCAGTAACACCATGATTTGTTATTACTATCGGGTTCAGCTGATCCTTAGCATTCAAAATATCATCTATATTGTCAACGGATTTTGCATTATAAAACCGACTTTTTGACGATATGTCAGACTATTTAAGCCGTTCTATAATTTTCTTGGATTGCACAGATTTCTTCACACCATTGGATTCCACAGATTCTCTAGTTGTTAAGCGAATTCGATTACTTTCAGAGAAATTGCTGATTTTTGGGAGTGTTTTGGGGAGTTTTGGAAGCCGGAATGAATGATCCATGTAAGTTTTCTTGAAAGAGCCACTAAAATAACAGATGCATATTAGTCACATGTTCCGCGTACTCTCAACGACACTATCACCATAAAAGAAGTGCAAAGCTGACCCGTCACAAGAGGAATTGTGAGAAGCCAGAGATTCATGCAATGCCGTATAAGTAACCGCCTTATTAGTGAGATTCTGCTCAATGAGATATGGTTTGGAGTTCCACCTCCACAACTGAAAATTCCACCAGTGTGAAAACATCTTCTGTACATTGTATCCTTGAAATTCACATGTGCTGAATTGTGAAACACATTCACAAGAGTGTAAGATCCTAGATGAAATTCGGTTTTGCAACTCTTCGATTGATTCTGTCTATTCTGCTGATCAACATAACATAATAAATCATTTGCATGTAAATGGCGCCATCTCCGAGCCATCCTTAAACTCATCTGACCGTCACGCTATTTATTGCACTTAATTGTGGTTGNTGGCGCCATCGCCGAGCCATCCTTAAACTCATCTGACCGTCACGCTATTTATTGCACTTAATTGTGGTTGAAATGAAATACGAAATGAACAAACCCTATTGTGATTACTTGAGACGAAAACAAACGGTTTATGTAACATGAATGAATTGAAATGAAACAATTTGCTGCGTTGAAACAAAATCATCACATAAGTTCGACGATGGCGATGATGATTGAATGGATAAATGATCGAATGTGTGTTGTTCACTTTATAAATGGGTCATTCGGCTTTAACAGACATGATCAACTCCCCGGCCTGCGCACCAGCCTTGAACGGTGCCTGTGCATCGGTTTCCTCATCCGGTACTTCGGCCCATTGAATAACAAATTTATCCTCTTTCGGTGGTCCCTCTAAACGGATTATCGTCAGTTCGGATTTGCTCGACTTCTCCAAGAAGCCATAAACCGGTGTTACACGATAGAATTCATTGTTTGATGTTTTCACCTGCAAACAATCACCATCGCAGCTAATCAGTTAC